GTCACTAACCAGTAGGTGGCAGTAGTGTTCTTTGACAAACATGGATGCCTCCAGTAAAGCACATTCACATGAAAATTACTCTGAATTAAAAACACTGATCATTTATTCAACAGGATGGAATCATTTCAGATTTAAAGAACTTTCAGAAGCTTGTATTCTGAATGTGAGCAACTTTTCCTTTAAATCACAAATGTAAATGGGACCTTTAAAAAAGCAGAAGATGTTTCAGTATTTGTGGATCACAAAATGTTAACCTGGATAAATAAATCGAAGAATTGGAAATCACATCAATAGTTGTTTTATTTCTATTTCACACCTGCCCAAGATAGTTTGACTGCTGGGATTAGTTTAAAGGAGTCCAATTTTTGGAGAGTGTTAAAAAATAAAAACAACAACAACAAAATTCAAGAAATAAACTTTGTAGGGTTAAATTTTGGGGGAAAAAAAACAAAACATATGGTATCACCTTGATGTTCTTATGATTTGAGCATAACTAATAATTAAATAAACATAGAGCAATACAATGAAATGCAAGCTTTGATCACCATCAAAAAATCTGGTTGAATAAAATTATCAAAGTTCCACACTTCCAAATCAGATCCTTCCAAATTAAAAACATTATAGCTACTAGAGACTTCCCCTCTGTAACAGTTTTCCTTTTCAGAACAATTTGCTCAGATACAAAATTATCATTGACATTTAGGAAATAAATAAGAATAAAGTAAGGCATCACCATAACAAAAATGTATTCCTTTCTCCTGTTTGTAAAAAGTACTCCATATTGAATCCAGAGGTAAAGTTGACACACAATCGCACTGCCTCGCACACACACCATGAACACCTTTATGTAAGAAAGAAAAACACAGAGTTATCTTAATGTAAAACAAAAGACAAAAAAGATAAAAACACTTGTTGAAGACAGATTATTACAGGACCCTTCTTTTTCATTCACTAAACTGAGGAAATCTGAGAGGCAGACTTCTGCACATCAAGTCAAAAGATTAATCAAAAATGAATTATTTTGTCATTAGCATGTGTCTAAGGCTACGTTCACACCAAATGCAGCAGAAGCAGCAAAAACGCTGCGCGATTGGAAAGTGGGTCTGATGAG